ATATAATGTATATAGAGAGTCGAGAGCGAGAGTGGAGAGACCCTCCGGATAAGCTCAATACGTTTTGCCTATATGCGATATACTTTAAACGTAAACTTAAAAAAGGTTGTTTAAAAAAAACGTTCTAAAGTATATCAAATCGACTATGAAAACTTTCCAAATTTGCACCTGAGAAATTGACCTCTTTTTAAAATGAAAAGGCGATTTGAAACTATTTACAACTGACACAAAGTAAAAAACAGGACAATACGCGACAATTAGGCCACCTTAAAAAAAAAGTACCTATTTGTAAACCCATAGGACTATACTTAGGATAAACTTTGATGTAAACGCTTTTTTATTATACTTTTTGTGCGTTTTAACGGGAAACGTAATGAGGTTAGCCCTGTGTACTCTCTCACTACTCTAGAGTGTAAATAGTACGAATTCTTTTTAGTTTTGAAAAAACAATCATAATAATAAAAATAAAAAAACTTTGTTTTTAAAATATAAATTTAAAAGAAATTTTTTTATGTGAATATCATATTCGTACAAGTGTTAAATCGAAGGCAGTCAATCACACGCGAAGTCAAGGATGCATCATTTATAGAAATGGTTGACTTAAAAAAGTCACCTCGATTCCCTTGTCCAACTCGACCTGCCACCTTCGAACAAATACATAGCGGGAATACGTGGCCGGCAAAATCACTGAAAGCACAGGAAATAGTCTTAGTTAAGGAAACATGGAACAAGTCGCTGGCCTGGATTTCGATGGTTCAGGAGGCGGTATGTTTGAAGTTAAGGGGTTATTATAGTCGGAAGGTGTTGAAAGGTAGAGTTCTTGACTCTGACATGTAGTTATCTTAATATATAACTGATATTTACTTATTGTTTCACAGTGGGTGCAACGCGTTGTTGTGGAGATCGGGTGCGGCGATTCGAAGGTCCCGTTCGGCAATTTCTTTCCTGTTATCGGGGACTATTTAATAGGTATCACCGATATTGCTGTGCGCGCCCTGGATGCGAAGACGGAAATTATTGCGCGAGAGTCCTACAGTGCGCTGCACCCTAATCCAAGTAGACGTTACCAGACATTCCAGGATTATGCTATGTTCTTCACTGGTAAGGACATGTGTATTTTATTCAATATTTTTTTATTGTGATATGATGATTTCTGTGAGGTCGAATCTTATTCTATGATTTATATTTGTACATGGATTACTTATTGCTGTCGCTTTGTGTTCGGGATTACTGAAGGACTTGGTTGGACAAGAGAAACATGGGAAACAATTACTCGATCCTTCATCTGGGCGTTACAATCTCATGGTCCTTATCTCGACGTGGACGAACGAGAAGACTTAGCGCTCGGTGACAGGGGTATACTCGGTCGGTTCTTCCGATCACAAGTCGTCAGTCGTGCACTGTCAAGTATACAATTGGGTTTGCTCTCAGACGAGGAAGCATATGCTATAGACAATATTTGTAAGCCTGAAGAACTTCATACGAAGGACCTCGGATTTATTGTCACTCACACCAATAACCCTTGGGGAAGTACTGATGAGCAAGATTTCGGTGTCGATTTTTTCCGCGATCATGCCGATCAGAGCGGGCTGACAAGTTTCTTCTCCTCTATTGTAATTATCGCCTGCGAGATGTATCAAGAATTTGAACCAAGCATACCTCAGTTACAAAAACTGGGCGAGGAAGCAAAGCACCTTGGTATGTTGTGATTCTTGTCTGCGCTTGAGCCCGACACGTCCGAAGTGCACGTGACTGTCTTTTTCGTTTCGGTTAGCAACTATTCATCGACAATCTATTGGCATACAGATGTTTGCAGCATAACTAACTATGCTTGACATGGGGTGATCTATCAAATTTTGCATCCTCAGACATACCATGCCATATGGAAGACAACATTGTGGGCTATGTAGCTAGCACACTGAGCAGATCGAAACAATTTGACGCAATTGAAGAATGTGCTATATTTAAACTGATTTGGAGAGTGGTGCTATTTGTTTTGGAACCTACGAGAGCTGCCGAATCGCTCACGAAGGAAGCACATGACTGGGTTAAACAAATGGCATTCGAAAGGAATTGGGTGCCTGAAAGGCTAGTACAAAGACTCAGAGAGATTTCAGTGTCAGTACACCGGACCGGATCATATGAGCATACAACCGAGGAAATCGAGTATGGTGCACAGGTGGCCTGGAGAAACAGCGCAAAGTGTGTTGGCCGCCTAGTGTGGGACCAACTAAAAGTTCGCGATAAGCGGCATGTGAGAGAATCTGCGGACATTTTTACTGAATGTGTCAGACACTTGAACCAGGCAACATCAAAGACGAACATGGAGGCCGTTATGACTGTGTTCGCACCACGCAAAAAGAGCGAGTGTTGGGGTACCAGGTATGTAGAAAGTGCAATCGATTGTTTCTATTTGACTATGTTTTAATTGTATAGCGATGTGCCGCTCGAATAGCTAAATTTCATTCATATTGCGCTCAATATTTCCAGATTCTGGAATGCGCAGTTGGTGAGATTTGCATGCTATCGTGAAGGAAATGGCCAATTGCTGGGCGACGCAGCAAATGAAGAACTCACTGCACGCATAATGGAACTAGGCTGGGAGCCACCCACACTCCGTTCCGCATTCGATGTTTTGCCGGTAGTGCTGCAGCATGAGGGTCAGACAACACCCGACATGTACGAGCTGCCTGAGATCTCTCAGCGTTTGGTGGATATCCAGCATCCGCATTATCCCGAACTGCGGGACTTAGGCCTCAAGTGGTGCGGAGTGCCGACAGTGTCTAACTTCAATCTCAGTCTTGGTGGCATAGACTATGTGTGTTGCCCGTTCAATGGATGGTTCATGGAGTCAGAAGTCACTCGCAATCTATGGGAAAGGTATGTTTTTTGGCCTCTGCCGTTTGGTCCATCTATGAATGTTTTCGTTATATCAGTATCGTAATGTTCATTCGAAGTATTGACCTATCGCTTGCTGATTTCACAACTAAACCTTCCAACAGGTACAATATTAAAAAATCCTTATGTGCGATATTCGGTCTGGATAGTACCGATCCATATTCGGGTTGGGAAGAACGAGGATTCGCCGAGCTCAATCGTGCCGTACTATACAGCTTCCAACGTGCTAAGTTGTCTATGGTCGCACATAAACAGGCCTGTGAGCAGTTTCTAACTCATATACAGCGTGAAAAGGCACTTGGGCGCGAGGTTCCTGCTCAATGGTCCTGGGTTGTGCCGAGTGCGGGTGGCAGCACCAACTCGCTGTGGCACCGTGAAATGCGTGACTTCCGATTAACACCAGAGTTCCAGTACTGTAGTGAGCGCTATAAGTTTGCAAAGCCTGGTCAGAAAACCGGAGAACGGCAACAATATTTGCGTGAGCAATCACAGGAGACGTCAATGGCGAAATCGGAGGGCCATCAGCTCCAGGAATCGCGCAACGTTCTGATAATGTTTGGTTCAGGAACCGGGGGATGCGAACGTTACGCTCGCCATTTAGGTCGCTTACTAAAGTTAGTGAAGCCGAATGTGAAAAGTATCAACGACGCTGTTTCGTCTGGCGCGCTTACACATCCCCAATTACAGACCTGCATTGTGATTACAAGCACATTTGCAGATGGCGATGCACCGGCAAATGCCAATTTTCTAAAAATGACCAGTCTAGGTAGCCTCGACCATCTCGACTTCGCCGTATTTGCGGCTGGTAGTCGCATGTACCCCACTTTCGCTGCATTCGGCAAACGACTACATCGTCGTTTGCAAGCGGCTGGGGCACATTCGATGTTCCCAATCGTCTGTGGCGATGAAATGAGTGATCAAGCACAGCAGTTTGCTGACTTCGCAGCGATGGTAGTTCAAGGCATTTGCCCTGATCTCGACTACAAAGAAATTAAAACCACCAAGACTGCAATAGAGGTACGGAGTGTGGTAAACCACTTGAAGGATCATGAAGCTCCCGAGAGATTATTTCAGCCCGTGAGGGCTTATAAAGAGATCGTAGGGTGTCCTTTTGCGTTCCAATCAGTGAAGCCCTCTAGCGATGGCAAGCGCGGTCGCAGTATGAGCGAAAACAGCAAACTCCAAGCGACTTTGCAATTCGAGTCCGGATGTCCGTTCTCGGAAAGCGTATTAAGTATTAAAGGTCCTGGCGGTGCACGATTGCTACCAGAAGGCAACGAAGAGTGCCATATAAGCACTGAAGCTCTCCCAGAGAAGGACATCGAACTCAGTATGCGTGTCCTTGGGTTTACACTGGTGCCGGTTGCCATCAACAAAAATTTGCTATCAGCAGGCGCGGTGAGTTCTACCAGGCTTCTGCGATTTGACTTGGCCAACACCGGCTTGGAGTACAATACTGGCGATCACGCTAAAGTTTGGCCACTAAACTCTGAGTCCTCAGTCGATGCTATGTGTCGACTCATTGGCGAGCGAGAGCCAGAACGCAGAGTTGAAATTGTCGACCGCGCCACGGGTGAGGACGAAGACCTGGGTATACCCACACCAATACGCGTTCGTACTCTACTGCGTACGTATGTGGACTTTGCCTGGCGACCCGTAGAATATATCGGCCTCTTGGAAACTATGGTGGCGTGCTGCACGGATGTCCACATAAAGAGCACACTCACATTGTGGCTACATGAACTCAGACTGGGCAGGATAGAAGGTGCAACTCGAGAGGAATCGGAAGCGAACAAAGCGTGCTGTCGTGCGCGGGAGGATATGATTAGTGCCAACTATCCGTGCATTACGGACATGTTGACTAAATTTCCATCGATAAACCTCACATTGGCACATATCATCGAAAGCTGCCCTCGGCAGAAGCCAAGGTACTACTCCATCAGCAGCGGTGCCAAGTTTTCGAAGGGCCAGTACATGGAGTTGACAGTAGGTGTTGCATCGGATCAGACCACGAATGGCAAGGCCCGAGAAGGTCTGTGCTCGTACTTCCTAGCCTCACTAGTCCCGGGTGTCGATGCAGCATGGGTCAGTATCAAGCACACCACATTCAAGCCACCTTTTAATTACGCGGCACCCATAATGATGATAGGGACGGGCACAGGTCTCGCGCCCTTTATTGGTTTCCTGCAAGATAAGTCTGTACTGCAGAAGCAGATGAATTGCGAGCAGATCACAGCGCCCAGAGCAACCAACAAAACCGCAGTCAACGCATGCCCCATCAGTTCTGCGCGCACTCATAAGCCTCTCCTGTCGAGGCGCCTGTCACATTTAGCACGTCGCATAAGCAATACAGGTCATCACGACAAAGGGAATAGAGTCAAGCTTGCGCCTGCTATGACCATGGGTAATCGAATATCAGCCTATAGTTTCAGGAAGAACAAGAACAGTGCGTGCTCGCCCAAGTTTGACACCCGCGAAACGTGCGAAGCCTCCGAAACCTCGGAAACCCTCCAAATGTCACTGTTCTACGGGTGCCACAACGCATCGGATTATCTCCACCGCGAGAACCTCATCACTTACATAGAAGACGAGGTACTGAATAGACTCAGTGTCGCCTTTTCAAGACCCACCTCTACGGGTCCAAACCACGAGACAGCTGCACGCCAATTCCAGCGTCAAGATTCTCAGCTGGTCGTGGCGCGTCGACGTCTATCCGGCGATTCTGGAAAGCAATACGTGCAGGAAACCATGGGCGAAGATGCAAGCCTACGGGAGGCGCTCAAAGATGCGCAACTGCATATATATATCTGTGGTGGTACCAGTATGGCCAACGATGTAGTGGCCCAATTGTGTGCCATCATTCAGAAGAGTGAGGAACTGGACAATTTTCAAGCAGTCCAGCGCATAGTCAAAATGAAGGCTGCAGGAAGACTGCACACAGACTGTTGGGGTACGAGTCCGATGGATAACCGATTCGGCTCTCCGGATATGGTTAGCATGCTAGATCGTCTACATGAGCGACAAAGGTATAGTAGGTATGACCCCTTTGATTCTACAATGGACTCAAAATAAAATGCAATAACTACACTATTGCATACGACAAGTATTTCTTGCCACTCAGCAAACTAAGGATTAAATTATAGTTGATCCATTGGAAGGGTCGTAGTAAAGCAGACAAGACAAGGCCAAAGC